TTCAACCACAGTCTGTCTCTGAAAAGAACACACTGTAAAGCAGCTGTCAGCAAAGACAAGACTACAATAAGACCTTCATGTTAAATTTTATTGGGCTTGAACTATATTCAATATATTCCACTTAAGCCTCCACACCATTAAACAGAACTAGGAACTGTAGAGCCATGTGTGACAGCAAGAATCCAGGTGGTATTCATTATTGAAAGATAAAAATGACATCTTACCATCTTGATAACAAGATTTATTGACAAGCCCCGGATTATCTGCAAGGGCAGCATTAACCTCAGTCACTTCTCCTGAGAGAGGAGAGTAGAGTTCACTAGCAGCTTTCACACTTTCCAAAGCTCCAAACTCATCTGAAACACAGAACATGATTGAATGCTTTTAAGAGGAAAATACAAAACACTTCAGTTTTTTTTAGTCAGACATTCTGGGGATGACCTAGCCATTGAAAAAGTATCTTGATCTTGAGCAAGAGAAACTGTTAAAGAGATTGAAGTCACCAACTTTATGACAATGATCAGCAGCATTAAATTTGATGTTTATGCTCCTGAATTATTCTGGGGAACTTGCATAACACTAGCTAGCTGGCTACTACAGATTTCTTACATTTGGCTAATCCTTTGGCTAAAGCCCTACAACATATGATATGATAAAGGGTTAGAAGGAACCACATCCAGCTCTTCCTGCAAGAGACCTAAATATGCCTGCTACCTACAATTTAAAGCTTTTTAAAATTTGGTTACAAAACAGACACAGCCACACTTTCAGGAATCCCAGTTTTTCTTCAGAAACACTACGTAGTGTTACATTTGCACTCACTGGCAAACACACATTAGTATTCAGAAGCACCACACTGGAATCACCCAACCGCTCTTCCTTTTTTTCTGTTTTGTAGGCAGTTATGGAAATGGTGCCTGGAGCGATGCTAGTCCAGAGTAACTCTAAGCCACAAGCAAACAAGACAGAGGCTGGAGGAACACGGAGCTGTCAGAAGAGTAGATAGGCATCAGCACAAGGAATCGGAGAACACCATGTTCTGGGAAAGCTTGGAATTAGACTAAGGCCAGAACAGGTAGAAAAGAGAAGAACTAAATGGAAATGAAATTCCTTCAGATAAAACGACAAGTTGGTTAATTAAACTCTAAACAGAAAGACAACTTTTGTCCAACAGTCACCATTCAATGCCATGCAATAGATTTGGCCAAAACAGTTCGATACAGACCTATTGCACAAGAAGGATAGCAAAAGAAAGGCCTGCTACTTCACCTCAGGAAATCTACATTCTTGTTCTGCAACATCTGAAGCTAATGACAATCTTTTCTTCCTATACTAGTGAGACAGCTCTCCATGTAAACACAGGAATAGGCTTTTTCTGTCTGTTACATTACCTGTTAATGCTCACTCTTCTTTAACATGGAAAATTACATAACTGAATGATTAAGAATGTAACAATCTGTACATCACTAATGAGCAAAAACCTACAATTGCAGCTGATACCCCAAAATTACTGAGTCTGTATATTCACAGAAAAATTAGAGCTTGAGATCAATTAGATGTTTCACATCACGCAACTTGTGAAACGCGTAACTGCAGAATTACAAATAAGTCAACCTAAACACTAGCAAGTCCAAATCAAAACATAAATATTTTAAAAACAGAGTATAGATAAAATTACTACAAAAATGTATTTCAAATGTTTGGTTTTTAAATAAATGTCTTCACAGTTTAATAAGCAGGTATTTTCTGCTACCTACCATGCACGGTCTGACAGCAGGA